AACAGAGAGATAGCTGATTGCTCAAGTTTAAGGAGAATCAACAGTTTTAAGACCCCTCGAATTAGCTATTCCTTGGAAACAACAAGGCGCAGGACAACTATTTCAATCCATTAATAAGAGCTTTTGAGACGGCCAAACGATTTATAAGAAAACCTCCGCTGCTCCCTTTTCTAGGCTCCATGTATGTCACTGTCTTTTCTGAGAGCATGCATTTCAAATCAACTGCAATGATAGCCTTTTGGACCTCAATACGGGTTTCTTTAGGTGTGCCACTGAGGACTCCATATCCAACGCACTTCTCGTGATAGCTCTTAGTACTAGTAACATCAATCATAGCAGACTACATGTGGGCATGTATGCTTGCTTACGAGTAGATGAAACAGCACTGTAGACTAAGACGTCTCTCCACATCTATGAAATCATCTCACGTCTTTCTATATGGATTACTGGCTGAGTAAATTGCTTGCCACACCACCTTTCGTCTATTGTCACCTTAAGCATTAGTTGTTTGAGTCTCAGGGAGTCGAAGTGACCCGCTCATACGAGAAGTGGAAGCAGTAAATCACCTTTGGTTGCAATGAGTGAGGTATCCTTGTAAAACTACACCCTAAGAATCAAACAAAACCTGGCATTTCCCTCATACTAATCCGCAAGTTGCGAATGCGCTATCGGTTATTTTAGCGAAATACATATTGAGGTAAAAAGTGTTTTGCATCCGTCAAGGCTTGTGGCTCCGCCATATGTAAATGCTGACAGGCTGTCAAGTGCACGCGGCAAAAATTTTGCCGGCACTTTTTGTTCTTTCCGATGTTACAGCCGAATAGTTAATGGTATAATCTTTCAGACTGTCTGATGCCTAGTGACACAAAGGAAATGAAAGTTTTTTGCTCTGTTCTGGAGAGATCATCGAGAGAATGAGACTGATAATAAAAAGAACTGTCGATAACTGGTGTAAGAACGAATGCCCTTCATATAGTTCTTTGTTGATAGAACAGTATCTGTAGTGATGTTTAGTTAGATCTTTACACAATAGCCGTATTGTTTATGTAAAGTCTACTATAAATACTGATGACACTGGCTTTCCGTACCTAATTCGCCAGTTTGTATCAGTGTTCAATTTCAACTGATGCCCTTTCATAGGCTCTCTTGATTTTCTTTCATAAAGGTGCGATCATAAAGACCGATAGGTCCGTGTTTCAATCCCGACCTCTGAATTTCTGGACTTGGGAAACCTGACAGTATCTCAGCCCTCACACTTCCTTGTGTGGCCATGTCAGCCATGCACAAAAGGTGTTGCGGTCGCAGTTTTTGTTTTTTTTTAGATAGAGACCTATCAGTTATACTGGTACTCTAGCTGGACTTGGGAAACCTGACAGTATCTCAGCCCTCACACTTCTCTTATGTGGCATGTCAGCCATGCACAAAAGGTGTTGCGGTCGCAGTTTAGTTTTTTTTTAGATAGAGACCTATCAGTTATACTGGTACTCTAGATAGTACTAATGTACAACTATTATGTACTTCACATAGAGTTGTTTTGGATAATCTGGATTCGAAAATCGCATTGAAGTTGAATCACTCAGTAGGAGACTTTGTGCTAGATTACGAAGACAGACATTTCACTTTTTCAAAATTCTCTCAATTTGATTGAGCCGAAATCAATATGGGAAGACCCGAAACCATGGACTGACAATACCTAACTGTCAATTGTTCCCGTAGTTTATTAAAGTGAACGATAAATGTCTCATTTTCTTGTTATCATGTTTCTAATTATCTTGCGTGACATTGAAACAGCGAATGTGTTTTCTTCAGCCAGCCAACAATAAAGCTGCTATGGAACGGCTTCCGCAAAGAGTTGCACATATGTATAATCAGCGCTTGAACGCTGATGATGATGCCGCCATAATGATACTTTAATCTCAGGTTAAATGGAATGCGCGATTGTCCTCAGGCTTAAAGTTCCGGTTTATTGTTAATCGTGTAGTCCTATCTGGTTTTTTTGCACATATTTCGTGACAAATTAGATACACTTCAATTGCAAAATAATTGGTAATCATTGCGAAACAAGGTTACACATATTAAAATTGTCCACCAACTCATTTTTGTCATTTTTATGCTGCGCTTGTGCTGCACTGCAGCAAAAAGAATTTTTCACCAAAAATCTACTGACTGTTTCCACCTGCCACAATATGGGCCCGCAATATTCATGGATCAGTGCAAGTTCAAGTATTTTGCAGATAAAAATTATGCTCTTCGCGCCACCGGAATACTTATAAATAGAAAAATTCCTGGGATACACTTAAAAATAGACGTTGTATCTTCATGAATACTTAAAAATTTCATACCTTTTCCAGCCGCTGACTAATGAATCAATCTATGATCGTTAAACAGAAAACTTATGGTCACCCAAGTGTCCTATCAGCCGGCCCTACTTCGCGTTAGTTGTTTTCCCCTATTTAGAACAGCCAGAAAGTCGTCAAAATGTGTTTATCAAATTCTTCTTTGATAATCTGGCCTGATGACTCTTTTCTCAAAGATTGGTTACGCCATCAAGTTAGGATTTTTGGCGCCAAAAATAATTATTGACTAGGATCATTTTGTTGGATAACTAACATAAGAATTTAGTAAGTGGGAAGAACTTGCTAGACAGCTGGTATTTGCCGCCACGCAATCATACGTTTATAATTCCATCAAACTTCCTATGCGAAGGAATTAAAAATGCCTTCGAATTTGAATTTTTTATATTCTTGAAAAAGCTAATCAGAAATCACAAACAAACCAGGACTAACTTTTTTTGTCTTGACAAAACTGTTTTGTTCTCGATGTTGGTGTACGTTTGCATCGTAAACTTCCATTACGTAAGATCGCTAGACATCATCCAACCAACTTGAACCCTGCGCTCATAAGATTGCCATCTACTGCTGCCGGACTGGCACAAACGTTCTGTCGGTTAGGTTTTCTAGGCGGTACAATCATTCATTTATTTGTGGTGCATTTTTGGTGTCCAATTTTTACTGCACACACCTAAAAAATCCCAGAATGTTTAACTTGCCCTATCAACAGCCTTATTTATCGATTTGTACCGCCGCTCACGAGGGACAAAAGGCATTGTTTATTCTTCCAGCCGGAATGTCAAAACAAACCAATGATTATTATACACACCGAAAGAAGTTTTACACAGAAGCTAGAATTCTGAATCAATAGTTTAAACGTAGAAAGATGGGTACTTGTGCAACCTCTATTTTGCTCTTTTCTCCATGAAATGCGGCATGTCGTTTTTGTATGTCAAGAACCTTTTGAAAACAACGCTGCCTAGGGTAAATGGCATACCTGATTCAAAAAGGTGCTTTGACATATCTGTTACTCGCTTATTTGTAAAAACTGAATGTCTGCTGCATCGCTTGAAACATCTGAAAAAATCTGCTTCGAGGCATCAGATTTGCGCTCCCTGGTAATTACGAAGCAAACAATAATAACTTACAAAAATCCTGTTTGTATGTCTATTCTAACTCAGCGATTTTCAGAGGCCCCATCGTTCAATGATTTTCAGTGAAACTATCCCATCTGATACAACTCAGACTCACACCAAATAACTCTTCTGATAAACGTCGAAGTGTCATTTTAATGACGCAAAACAATTTTCTGAATCCTAATTAAAACGGTCTGCAGTCAGGGCTTCCCCAAAGAAAATCTTGAGCAAGCTTGTGCTATATAATTTCACAATTTTGTTGACTTTTAGGGTGCTCCCGAGTAGTGATTCACGCTTAAATTTACATGATAGTTTAACTGACGAATCTTGATCATATAACAACATATGCTATATGCTTATATTTGATCCCCTTTTCGTGGTCACGTTAACAGATTTTCAATAACAAGACAAGAGCACAAGACTCTATCGTTACCGAATTCTATACTTTGGTTGCTGTTTCCTCTGTGTGCTTTCTGACTGCAATTTGCGAAAGTCTTCTTTGCTAGACGCTGTCCGACTAAAGTAGCCAGATTTCCATTTAAAATGCTCTCTGATCTTTTGGTTGATTTCCAACACATTATTGCCTTCAGATCGTGTAGTCAATAAGCGCACATGAAATCTGGGTGTCTTGACGATTGCGTCCGGCATGTGACTTTCATTTTTTTTGTAATCTGATTGCATACCATCATGCAGTTTTGGCTTTATTCTGTTGGTCTTGTTTGATCAGTCACAACAAGCCAGTCATAGTTGATGAATTATAACTTACACTATATTCGACCAGATTTTCATGACATGAAAGATACAGATAGCGAAAAACCGTGAAGAAAGCAGCGTGTCAAATGAGAATTTCTTACCGAATGATTACGATGTGTCGATGAGAGTTACACACTAAATCCCATCTCACGTGACAAAAATGTCGGCAAGAGCATAACTTCCAGATAAACACAGAAATGACTGTTTAATCTCTTACCGGAAAAGTAGAGGTTTCTTGTGGGCTTGCCTTCAACACCCCGCGACAACGAATTTTCGTGAGTAGCGCTCAGCACTTGAAACAAAGCTGAACACCACAACACTGAACACGAAAACTTCAGAGTAGTCGGTTCATAATGTTTTGTCCGCAATTCGACGAAGATACACATAGTCACTATTGATTAGCGTGTAAACATTTATTTTTACATGCGGTATCAGGGATAGTAAACTGTTTCCTTGATTTTCAATTCAGTGAGTTTTGAGAATCCCATTGGCTCTTCATTCTGCAAGTCAACCTAGGCTACAAATCCACACAGCATTGTGTATCATTCTTCGAAATCCTCAGCAGGGCGCACGTGGCAAACATTCATTGAGATTCAAACACTTAAACAGTAGATGAGCAGGTCAGCATTTTCATTCGGCTATGAGTAGTATGTGTTGGCTTTCCATCGAGAAAAACATTCTCGCAAGCTGTTAAAACATGACGGCTATTTTACAAATTCCATTCAAAACTTTTTAAATAAACGATTACTATCTGTTCGTTGTTTGTTCTTTGCAACTGCAGGAATCTGTCCAAGCTGCAGCTGGCAAAACTCCAACTCACTGATGCTGGAAACTATACTTGTTTGGCAGAAAACCTGAATGGCCATATAAGAAAATCCGTCCAGCTAGTCGGTGAGTGCTAGTGGGTGTCTTTTTGCAGTTACTTGATCAATTTTACGACGTGGTCTTTGCGGATACAACTATTTAAAAAACTCTTCATTTAACAAATGATATTGCTAAAACATAAAATTCAATTAATCGGATAAAGCTTGGGTAAAACAGCTTTCTATTGGTTGAAGCTCTTTGGGTAGGGATGATGTCTGCTGGTTAACCAGGCGTTTGACCTAAACTAAAATATTTCAATCAGAGTAAAAAAAGACTACCTCTAATTCCATAAAAATAACAGACATCTTACATACGAAACTTCTATTATAGCTGCTATCACAACAGAAAAAGTCAGCAACAAATTCGCTTTAAGGAAAGCCATAGCTCATAACTGTGTATATGTTAGACTAGTTTAATGTGAGACTACTGAAAATGTGCCGTGAAGATCAGGATCAATGCACGTGTTAGTGAATGAGTGAACTTTTTACAAAAAATACTCTACCAGAATGTTCACTTTTCTCAACCCCGTTTAATGCAGTCATTTGTCTTCATATCATTGTTCTTAAACGCTTGTGTTGATTTTATGGGAGTTGGAGGAATTTCATATTAATTACAAACAAATCATCAACACTTGAGAAACCCAGACAAACGTTTTGTCTTTCCGCCGGTAAACCACACACGATCGAAGTAAACGTTGGATGTCAAACATCTCAGGACCATTTCTTTCAATCCAATGACTTCAGGAAAATGCATCGACCGACTTTAATCAAAGTAAGTAAATTGTTCCGACCACAGGCTTATTATTCCCGACAACCTGTCCGCTTGGAACAGCCAGACTTTCAGTCTTTGAATGCGTTGTTAAGTACAGATTCATAAGGATAGGTTTTCATCAGGTCCAAACATGTGGTCACTTCCTGATAATATCAACTTGGAGATGCTTTCGCCTTCAAGAGACTCGTCAGGTACGCGAAGGTGAAACTGGCAGCTAGGACATTCTACTGAGAGTTACAGGCTGCTGACCATGAATGGTGAAATAATCGGTCATGTTTTACTTTTTAAATCAAATTAATTATTTAAAATTCGCTACTGACATGCGTGTCTACTGCAGGTCCGCTCGTGGGGGCTGAATTCCTAAAATTGAGGGTTATATGGTGCCGCTAAACTTACCTTTAAGAGCTGTGTACTCAGCCTATTGTGCAGTACACAACTTTGTTGCATAAACTAAGGGATGCTGAAAAACAAACCAGTTATGCTATGAAAGAATTTGGGCAAACATATCGCCCCATCGTTTATACCTGGAAACAACTCATGAGACAGACACTTCAACCTTAGACTGGGGCCTAAACTCCACATACTATATTTTTGCAGTGAGACGCCTCAGTCTTTCCATGTAATATCAAAAGTTGTGGATTTTCTAGCCAAGTTGGGTGATAATCACTCTGATTCTGAAAGCTGGTTCATTCCGTTCGCCGTGATTCTGAGAAACGTAGATGTCGCACTTACAGAATTCACGTCACCTTTTCCGTAGTGCCACGCTCCAATTGAGTGAAATAATGAGGCGTTATGAAAATAATTTCATTTTTTCACCGCAATATATTACTTAGTATACACGGTGTCTGACGCTGTTGCCATATTTATAATAAACCTTTAAACCTTCAACTCCCAATTCCCTATCTTCTGACATTCAAACGTTAAAAATGTCGACACTGATTTGAAATTTTCTGATACTTTGGATTTCGGTTCTTTTTGTCACATGCTTTGATGTGGTTAAAATCATAACCGAAACTGTAACACCAAATTTTGTCCACATCCTTCCTTTGGTTTAGTTAAGTTTTGAATTTGATAATTCTGCAATCGACACAACTTGGACTGTTCTACATGGCATTTAGATGCCTTTTGCCCCCTTAAGGTTTTCATGGGGTGAGCACAGTACATTGTTTTTGTGATGTATTAGGCGAATTTAATCGATTCGTTTGATGCCATTAAACATCTCGTTTCCAGATTTTGTTTATGTTCTACACTGCTAAGGCATATGCAAATTGTAAAGGCGATATTTTACGAAACAGAAGCTTTTGAAGCTGAAGAGCAGATCAACCACGGCAAGCTATCCCAAAAGATCGGGCTATAGTGGGTTAGCCACCGCATGTTCTTCCCATCTGGTGATTTAAACACGGTACTTATGAGTAGTACATTACGTTTGAACAGGGCACTGTTTATCTAGGCACGATTATAATCTGTCATTTGTAAGTTGGTGTGTATATTAAGAACATTCTGTAATGAAACATCTCCACGTGTAGTCATCTGTCAGTTGTGACCCCCGAGATTGGATGGGGTAATTGGATCCAAATTTGGGCCATCACGTTTGGAAAGAATCGCCTTTTTGAAGCTGGGCTACAAAGTTTTAAACTCTTCATTATGGTGATCGGTTTTACAGAAGTTTTTATATATGCAACATTATGCTCTGCTCGAAATTGTTAGTAGTTTTAGCGGAGACTGACACAAAACTGAACTGCTCTTTAGCCTCAATATTCATTAACTGGCTACAAAGTTCCTGTCGCAGCAGAGATTTCGGACGTCCACCAGCAAGCGAGACAACTAAGAATGCTACTATCAAGGCCATATCAGAAGCAATTAAAATGCATTGACATATGCTAGGATTAACTTTGCGTTAAATAAATACATCCAATTACATAGGACGTTGTGTCGTTCCATCTGCAGATGAAACAGGATAAACACATAAACCTGTCCTGTAAACAAAAACATTCCGCATCAAACTATATAATTAACTGTTTCGCGCGAAGCACATTGCATGCCCACTGGCTATATGTTACTTAATGTCCCGTTTGCAAGGTACTACCAAAGCAATATTGGATGGTTTTATATTGCAAAAGTTGCCAGTTATCTGGACACTGTTTAAAACTGTTTAAAAATGCAATTTACTTGTGAACTGTTCAATTTTCAACGTGGACTGAGATACGTTACAACACTTGACAGAATTAACTCTGATCATGATGAGGTCAACTATAGAATAGGTACTTTTCATAACGAACCATTTTTGTTGGCCGTTTGTAATTTATTTTAACAAGATTTTCAAAACAGACCACCGTGCTTATTCAGCAGCGTTTGGTTGACTCTTTTGAATGAGATTACAGAACAAATAATAACCCAGATATGTTATATAAACATATATAATACCGTATATTTTACGACCTGGAAAGTAAAATAGGCAGAATTATGGGACAAGACGTAAGGAGTAAAGTACGGTTGCGCAATCCACCAGATGCAGGAGTGTAGCTAATGTTAGGGTGAGTACGTATCAGGTGGGGAATCCGGCTGGTTTAAAGATCTGAGATTTTAAGTGCAAAGCCGGAAGCGGTGTTGCCAACTTTTCTCAAGAATGACAAAAAATTTGGGTCAACTGAAAGAATATCAGATGAGACATGAAAATTTAATTCATTACCTATGGAGAAAATTCTGATTTCAAGAGAAATCGTTTTTGCTTGTAAAAGATTTCAAGTGCCACATCAATCGTTCAGCTTTTTCAAGAAAGCCTCACTTTTATCCTAGTGTGTAAGCTCCATGGCGTTACTTATCGTCATAATTCCAAATAGATTCACACGTGGTATTACCAAACTCACTGTCCGATACACCAAAACATTTGCCCTAACTGTTATTAGCTTTTGATATTGCCCTCCAAAACAATGACAGTATTCCACAGTTCAAAAGTCTGCTAAATAACAACTGTTTGTGGGATTGCTATGACGGACCGTTAAATACTCACTATTTCGTGTTAACTTTGAGCCAAGCAGGAGAAAAGAATGCTTAGTCAATGTGGGAACTGGATAAATGAAGAGGATTTCTTGGAAGAGTAGCGGAGTGCTCAAAGGAATAAAGTAATCGTGAACCCAGGTTGTTTTTGACATACTCATACTAAAAATAGTTCTTCTGGGTTTCCCGTTTAGCTTCAAATCAATAGTTTTGGGAAAACACCAGCTCCGAATGACGACAGGTGGCAGTAACAATGAGTGCACTATATTTGAGATCATTATCTTTATGACATCAACTCGATTTCTTATGAGAATATAAACTTTGTTACGGATTTTGAAGCTAAAATGGGCGCGTTTGACGCTGCAACCATGATACCCTTTCACATGCAGAAAATCTCAAAAGTATGCTGTCTTTCTCGTTTGATAGAAACATTTACCGAATCACATTTGACTTACTATGGGCAACCTAGCAAGTTTCAACGCTAGTATAGTTTCTTCAATAGGTCAGTTGCGTTCAGTAAAGTCACGAAGTGAGTCCATTTCTAAGCAATCAGGCGTCGAAGATCAGGTGAATTGTCATTAGCAGATAAAATAATACTGATGTAAAACGTTTACAGCGATATTTTCTTCATTCCAGATTAAAACAAACAATTATTGTTTGCGCACAATTAATCTGATTATCGATAATTTTTATCCATATTATAATATATATATAATATATATAATATATATAATATACGTATAATATATATACTAATGTTATCCCACTCAGAGTTGTCGATCAACAACTTCCAGACAGATGGATCCATACGCAAAGCCGGTGAATGCGAGGCTGGGTGTGGTACTGCATGCAAGTCTGGTTGCTGATGTGGACTCTAAGGAATGAAGTCAGCGGAGATATCCGGAGGCAAGCTGCAAATCATCGGCAGGCATACACCTGATGGCCTGAAAAAGGGCACCGTCACCACTTACATGTATATCATTAAACTGCCGGCACAAACCGTCAAGCCCTTTGTGTTTCAGCATAATACAGCAATACATTCTCCCACTACGGCTCCCTGCGACTGTCCTAGAAAACGCAGGTTAGATGGTAGCATATGACTTGATATCATTCTATTAGACTTCGAGATTTCCATATTACCGTCCTCAAGCTGATGCTATATCTGGCAACGATTCAAAAGCAGATGGAACAGACCTCAGTTCCAATTGTTCAAGCCGGCTTCATCCGCGAGTGAGCTAGAGAACCCTTAGGGAATTTCGAATAAGGCATATGATTCCGCATGTGATGCACGTCTACATGGAAGCCGCACTAGAGGAAGTGCACCAAATCCACAGAAATTGCTTCTTCTACAACAGTGAGTTGCGTTACGTCATCGATTCGAAGGAGAAGTGTTTCCTTATCCAAAGTGAAGCTGTTCTATCAGTTAGTAAGCAAAACCTTCAGGGGTTCCAAATGAGATTTTATCCTGCTTGTAAAACCAATTTATGCCTAAACCTGGACTGAAATTTTCAAAACTCCTACTCCCGGAACACTTTGACCGGCTCAATTTTCAGCTGGTCTTAAGCAGATTATTTTAAACTCAAATTTTGGTCATTTTTTTTATAGCTTGGCCAATACTACATGCTACAATTTAGTGAACGTGATTTTTAGACTAGAGAGGCAGTTGGGTAACCAGCCTGAACTTGTGCAGCACTGAAATTCTCCAACCCAAATGGACGATAATTAAGAAGAGTTTTTCAATGTTATGTTTGAAGGTTTTTTCCGTTTCTCTAAACACCCTTTTATCAGCCCCCAAACCTGGCCTTGCGTAGGATAATATTTCTAGATTGACTCCTCTTCACAAACCGGTGTTTATCTGGACCACACGCTACCATCGTTCTTTTTTGACAGTTTATGGAATCACATGACCAACCGGGTAGTGCAAAGTCATCTCGTTTTCCTGCACTCTCAGTTCCGTAAACCTTATGGTTTCTTGTGCAACATTTGTTGTTTATCAAATGAGGTCAAAGCTAGGCAGGGCACAGTTCGTTCCCAAATGACTCGACTGCGATCTTCCTTTTATCACTGCTGAATATGCTTGCATTTGCGTGCACCTATCCGAAACACAAAAAAAAGAGGTTTTCCAGACCTCAATTTGACCAATCACAAGTAGGGGTGAACGAACTTTCGTTTTAAGTAGCTTCTGCATGGTAACATTATTACTTCGGCTGTTAGAAGAGCAAAATGCTGTTCAGGAAATAAATAGGTTGGGTTCTATTGTCCGAATGCATGTACAAACACCTCCAACCGGATGACATTTGTGTGTTCCTCAGTCTAAATGATGATAAAGTGGAAGCGCGTACCTATTTGATGAAGTTGTGTCTGGGGGAGAAAACGACTTCGAGGCTTTCGAGACCTGTAGATGCTATCTCAAGTGAAAGACGAAATGTATGGAAAAATAATTCTGCATGCACATCAAAATAACGATCCATCATTTTTCTAGGTTTCTGTCTTGCACCAGCACAAGGCACAAAAGGGTTTTATTCAAAGGTCAATGTTGGCAACCCTCTAACGGAACCCCTGGGAAAAAAAGCACTAATGAACGAGAAGCCAGATTGACGAAGATGATGTGGTCCATTTGTATTATTCAATTGCGATTCAATCGCCTCCTGTGGCAGTCGGACGCTGAGGTCAATGGATACCATTTAGTATTCTTTTTTGACTGCACAGATTTAGGCCACATAACTCATTAACCCGTTGGCTGAACTGCGGCTGTCGTGAAACTCTTTCACGGAGATAGACGTTCCCGTTTTTCCTTGATTCAGCCGTCAAAACTGTTCAAGTACCCGTGTCATCTCTTGTGAAAAATTATTTTCACTTCATCTGAAAATCAGTCGAACACTTTTCTTGATAGAAGTTGAGATTTTTCACTATCTAAATGAACTTCAAACTGTGAGCATCATCCTCAGACGTAACGGGTCACTCAACAAAAATAGACATCACACAAAACATATGGACAAAAGTTGATTCAGAGCTAAAAAAAATTCTGTAAAACTTTGTTAAATATCTTCCGCCTTCTTTCTTGTTTAGTAATAAATTGTTATCTTGTCCAATCTAAAGGGTACATTTCTGACCACAGTACATCCTGGCAACCGGGTGTTAGTTTGAATCTGCAAACTACTATTTTAGGAGATTTTATGTTGTTTTTGAAGGCGATCGAAAATCTTCTGAACCTCTGGAAATCATTGTAGAAATTTGGGTCAGGTGTAACCCATGTGCGAGTTGTTCTAGCATGTTTTCTCTTCTTTTCACACTTTGGAACTACCTGCGTTATTATATGTTTTGGTTTTGACCATCTGTGTAAAGAAGCCTTAAGCGTTATTACGAACTATATCCGTATGGACCTCGCTCATGTTTGCATCCGTTGTGACCGTGCTGAATCTAATCTGTCAGCACGCAGATGACAAAGACCGCCAAAAGTGTTCGGTCACCTTTATTTCTAACTTAAACAAATGTCAAAAGGTGCACAAAATGCATATTAATTAAATATTTCCTCCACTAATGCACAATAGTATGCTTGCAAACAAAAAAGACTAAACATTTTACGAACGGGAATCGATAGGTTTGTGCCAGTTATTGTGGCATGTTGTCCACTAGGTCGATAAGTACAGGGGAACCCCCACACATGCCATGTTAGGTTTGCTTTCACTGACCTTGGAGAAACAAGACTTTTCTAATTTGCCTTAACATCATGTGAAACGCCAAACAAATAATCAGTTCGCAATCGTACATGAAATGCGGCCCACGCTCTGCCAGAAAAATCACGACAATGTCCCCATTACCGTGGTTTGATTCAAAATTTGGTGCCATACTTTGCTTCGCCAACTGCGTGATGTGACGGCATAATGGTAAGACATGGCTGTCCAGGTTTGTTTACTTCATAGAGACACATGGAAGCAACGCCGAAATAAAACTGAAGGCCACTGGACGCATTGGACTCACATCATCTGACCGACTGCACTCTCGCATTTTCAATTCATTGAGGAGAATGGTGCAAAGATCCATATGCGTGTCTTAGGCACCCTTAAACAGCAACTGTTGGCAAAAATGTCCGCAAGCAATTTTCAATAGACATTGAACGTTTTTCACTTCTGCTTGTGGTTAAAATGGTGTCGGTGTTGCACAAAAGCTTGCGGTTAAAATAGCCACGATTTCTGCCGGTGTGAATGAAGCTTACGATCGGTTTCTGTGTTAAACACATGTAACCGCCTAAGCGATACGTCCAGCAATAACATTTATATTTTCAAGTTAGGATCTAGATAGTTTCCGAATCTGTTGGGTTCTTTGACTTCTTATTTAAGCGCAGTTTTACCACGGTATCTATATAAAATCCCTTTGACGTTATAGGATGCGCCACAACTTTACACACATAACTGACTAAAGACAAACTGTTTGCACCACCAGTAATATTTCTTGGGAAGCAAAATAAGTAAAACTCAAACCCATTCAGCAGTCTTTCATGGTGACGCAGTGGAATACTTTTGCAAAATTCATTTGGTCTACCGCTTGAAAACACATTATTTCCATAGGTTAAAGTGCATATATTGTTTTCCAATAAAAAAAGACTTCCAAATAAAATACTGCGCCACCACCCAAAATGTTCCTTAATTCACTAATATTATATAATTTTAGGAGATCAAGGTAAGCCGCAGAATGCCACACTGGCGCCAGAAACTGTAACCGCGTTCCAGGACTTTTTATCTAGATTGCAGTTGGAGCACAGTATTCCGCAATCGCCAGTAACATTGGAAACCACCAGGAGAGGTTTCACACCGAGCTTCATCAGATAAAACAAGTTGCCCATTATAAAAGACAGCGTACGCTCCATGTTAGAAGTGTAATCATGTTAAGTTACAGCAAATGTGAAAAACCGAGTGCTTAGGGTCTTTCGTGCAGTTACGGTATGTTTTATCTCGCCGTTATTTCGGATTGAGGTTAAATTATAGCCGATTTCTGGGGTGTTGATCCCACGACAACTGAACTAATCCTGATGTCACTTATAATAATTGAATTACTGGGTACCTGATTTCCTATGTAATTGAAAACTCAGTTGCGTGTTTAAGAGCACACCTTTTGATGGCCACGTAAATGTTTCACAGAAAGTCGAGAAAAGTTTACGTAGAGCTAACTCGCGTAATTATTTTAACTGCAAAAAAGTGAGCGATGGGGTAAAACTGAAACAAAAATGTTTTTTTCAACGCTGTATTTGTACAATTAAAGCAACCGGATAAACTTTGAGGCGTTTAACTGACAGCATTACTTATTCAACAGTTGCATTCAGTGCTCCGTCGGTAGTGAGAAAATTTTGAACATTTTATCGAAGTCCCATCTGTTCTTTTAATTACGTTAACTAGCTGTCATTTTTCAGACTAGGGCCATATTCTTTCCAGATATTTGTTTAGCGTGTTTTTGGATGTGCTCACCCTTTTGCACTCTGAAAAAGAAAGCTAGCTCCAGGGACTGATATTTTTGTGTGAGTCGCTGGAAAGCCGCAAGCTCTCTGTTTCGAAAGATAAGAGCATTGTCTCCCCTATCGGTCCGTTTCATGTTATGAAACGTGTTCTAACATCCCACGTCCAAAATCACCCAGAACTGTCTGAAACTAATCAGCTTATTTGGAAAACAAAAATAAGTAGTCAATTCTGTTCTCGTGCTCCCATTTCTGCTGTCTGTGTTTCAAGTGTGTGTACAAGTCTGTGTACAAGTGACCTTTGTTTTGACTATTGTTACGGAAAAATTTTGGGTGCGTGTACAAGGACTGGTTGTGTAACACGGCAAAACGTGTTTGGATAGTGACTATATCTTCTAAAGCTGCAGCGCTATGATCCTCTAAGAATTATTCCGGGAGACGTAAAATCTCTCTGGAACTTTTGGTTTCCATGTAACAGGAATTGAACTGCAAAATCGCTTTGACTCTGATATCCACACTCTCACATGTTTCCTCTATTCTCATGTTTTCCAGTAAGGGCAACCAGCACTACTTCGACGCCGACCACTACAACCACAAGTCCATCACCGACAAAGTGTGAGTTACCAAACGGGATGCGTTTTTATCAGATTTACAACTTCTGTTTATCACCATTAATCTGAAAAACAGAACTGAAACGGTTTCTTGCGACAGAACTTGGGTTCGGGTCCTGATAAGTCAGAGTTAAAATATTCTTCGAACACACTCATCACCTTTAGTTTAGAACGTAGAGCGAACAACTTAGAACCCTCAGCGATGATGACTCCTATGTCGATCTCGACATTAAAGGTAAATAGCAAATTTGCTGCAGCTGATCAACTTTGTTAGCCGAGTGGTTTGATAGGCTCGTGATAAAAAACAGTAAAAACCAAGCCTGCTTCGTCCTTTTATCGCGACAGATTTCCTGTAAGCATTGCGTGGATATTGCCGGATTTCCAACACGTAATTATAGACAGCGGGACAGTCCGCGACGGCAAAATTCCGTGATTTTTGACAGATTAGTCCGTATGTACGGTTTGTTTCATGAATTGCATAGCAGTTGCTGATCACTCATTGTAAACCCAATAACGTGTATCAAAGACAAACCGTATCATCTAGCCCTAATAATCGGCTTGATTAGAACCTAGGTGCAGTTCCACATTTGTTAAGCTATTCCAGATAATCACCAATTGCTCTTCTGTATTAGAGTGCATCAAAGCGCAAAATGACTCCTACAACCTTTACTGTGAGGGGATTCTGTATTTGCTGTTCTTTATCGGACGATTCTTTCTATGTAACTAGCCCTGCTAGTTTGACTACAGTATACTTACATGTTTGTGTGGGAAACGGGTTCAGCCTATGAGTAAACGTGGTGGTATGTGTATCCAACTGGGCTCCATCTTGCACTATCTGTGCAATGGGTTTTCCTTTCAGCAATTGAAAACAGTGTGGAATCGCGCAGCATCTTGAAGGAAGTCAACTGCACACCTTGGACCATACGTGAATCGAATGACTAAATACTGCGAGCTCATTGTCTGGTATGTGTCGCTAGCAGATTTGTATAGGCCGGGGAACTATCCTCTTCAAAACAAAGTTGTTTGAGCCATCTGTAATGGTTCCTTTCCCGAAGCATAGTTACTCGATATAGGGATATCGAGTCACTTGTAAGGTTTAGTGCGTACAGCACGTTCACTTGATGTCGGCTAGTGCGCACTGACCTAGAAATTAGGAACATATTGGGTTGCAAAACGAAATTCACTCGTTCGGATCACATACACACGGGGTTTCAGATTTACCAATTCCCCAGTTCATTCATGTCGCCCAGTCTACTCTCGCACAGTAACTGCAACCACGAATACTTTTTCACCATTAGGCCATCAACCAGCTGATTACAACTGCCTAGTTTGAGGATACTTGTGACACAGCATCAAGATACATTGTGTGGTACGATCCAGGTGATCTGCATAAAACAACAGCACTGTGCAAGTGTTAACTCTGATTGGATTAGGTCTGCCAGCAGGACTTGATTAACTGCGCTGAAGCCCAGGAACGAATGTAAAGTTGAGGTCCCTTGGGTAGCTTTTAAAAATAGCCGCCAGTGTAAGCGACACCGTGCGCCTTGCCTGACAGATTCAATTATGTACCGATGAGACAAGTTGCGTGCGATGGCTTTACGAGACACCTGAGAAAACACTCCCGCAAACAAACCTAGCGCTCCGGCCGGACATTCTGTTGAGGCACATCATAAACACGAAATTCATCTGCATTTGCAAATAAGTGCTCAACCGAACGTCTGTTCAATTTCCTGTTTCATGACGGAACTGCATTTGTCCAAAATTCCGTGTCTGTCGAATAAACCCAAACAGAGCAAAGCCGCAAAGTTGGTGCTGACGTGTTTTCATTGATGTTATAGGAGGCAAATAATACTAGGGAACAGTTTCTTGTCGCTGACTTATTTGAGGTGCTTCAATAAATAACTTCTATGCAAGAGTATGTTGGTGTTAATTTAGAGAACTTTCCAACACCTAAGGACTTAGTACATCACTCATATCACCACAGGGTGAAGTTCTTTTGAATTCGAGGTACAACGAGTAAGAAATCTGCTAAAATAAGTGTAGTTTTTACCGGAAAACTTGACCAACTATATATCAAACAGCCAGTTACAAAGCTTTGTAACTGCTGACAAAGCACTCTTCATGTGCTAACACATGTGCTCACATCCGACCAGTGGATGTTGTGTCAGCAACACGTTCTTTTAGTCCTCATCACGGAAAATCATATATACAGTGTATTACCTCTAATTTTGGGTGGATCCATCATAATAATCGTGCAAGGAAAAAAGTAACTGTTTCAACAGATCTTGGCGTAAGCGAAAATTCCACAAAAATCGCACCTACCCACAAGTAGTTCCGCCTCTGGTCTGAACTGATCTTCCTGGAAACAAGTCACGCTAAACTTGCAGAAATTTTGGTATCAGCTCTAAAAATCAAGCACACGAGTGAGTATGAGAACAATGTTTCTTAGTATCTCATCCATCACAGCTCTATTCCTGCAAGCAGGGTTCGACGTTTTGATGCCATTTTCAAGTTTATTTTTTGTTCACACCAAGTGCGCCTGAAGTTTTCCTTTAAAAAAAAACAGAACATAAAACATCTGTCACGGTATCAGCTCTAAAAATCAAGCACACGAGTGAGTATGAGAACAATGTTTCTTAGTATCTCATCCATCACAGCTCTATTCCTGCAAGCAGGGTTCGACGTTTTGATGCCATTTTCAAGTTTATTTTTTGTTCACACCAAGTGCGCCTGAAGTTTTCCTTTAAAAAAAACAGAACATAAAATCATCTGTCACATTTTTTCATGGAATCAGGCCTGTATTATTTATTTGACTAAGGACCTTTCATTCTGAAATTTTTATTCTTAAATCCATGAACGCATTTGTGAACTAAATTTAAAAATATGAAAATCTGTGCCAAGGCTGCTTCTGTCAGAGAGTGGTGCCAAGATTCTTAAACTCTGAATAAATTTAGGACGTCTTTAGATTTCGAAATTCCTTGCAAACTGACTAGTCACGTGCGTAGTTTATTGCTTTATTAGCGGTAGTACCGCTTTTCTACCAACAAATACTGCAGATGGATTGGAGACTTGCTTCGGTGACCCCTTTTACGAGAAACGAAATATAAACAAAGTGCCCCGAAAGTTGGTAGGACTCACGGGAGATTACGAAAGTCGCTTTTCGCAAGAAGCCTGGATGAAGGGATATACTGAGGACGGTGTTCGAATCTACGATTTCTCATTTCTAGGATTACTGCGGTATTGGCTATACCGGATGTTATTCCAAACTGCTCATGTATGAACAGACTCGATCATCATCAGAGACGGCACCATTAAGCTTGACACCGATCAATGACTACCGTACAACCAAACATTTGATTCAGTCACACTTAAAGATTTTAAGGGGCAAAGAAAAAGGTTGGATGGATGTTTGGTTTAAATACACATAAGCAATACATCGAAATACAGCAATTCCAGCTGCGACGGTTATTGAGGATGAGATTAATCCTCGCAGTGATGACCAATGGAATTGTTTGTCCAGGATGGCAAGAAGGCACTAGCCTTGAAACAGAACTGCCACTGGCTGCGTAACACAGCCAGGTCATAAACGGACCGCTCCTTGTTCATCTAAATCCGACACAATATTGACAGAAGAGTGTTCTGCGAGGCGAATGGTCCTCTTGCGTATGAATCTCATCGGCCGATCAACGTAACATGTGGTCACCAGCTCACCTATCGAGGGGAAGCTACCTTCCCCGGAAATCATCTGCGGTGCCTCAGCATTAGTGATCTTATGTTCCCACCAGATTCAAGCAATGCTGCAACGGCACCTACGGCGAATCACAGAGGGCCTTCGAAGACACTCTACGCGAAGTGTTTACGTCTCTGATCCATAAAGTAAGGCAATCGAACCGCGGCATTGTACATTCTACCCTTGACAGCCATGCTGATTTCATGTTGGTGCCACAAATATCTGGAGTTGGCAAACGCTGTCTGGCCCTCCCAATACGGGGAGTGAATTTGTCTTTCTTTAGACCGCCTGGGACTTATGCAGCTGCCCATGTAAACAAGCTTATCTAACACATCGGTCAGTTTGCCTGAAAGCATAAGTCTTGGGTTTGATCCCACTCAATCGTGCAGGAGCACTTTACTGGAGAGTCTAGAATGTCACCACTATAGTGGGTCATGCCTGATCTTATCGATACGATAAAAGCATTAAAAGATATTCTTTTTTGTGCCTAGACGATAACACAGGGCTTTAGTGTATTCGCATGCGTTTGACAAGAGTCAGCGTTCTCGTGGACTCAAATGCTCGATTTTCCAATAGGAATTCGAGAAATCGTGGGTCAAATCTTTACATCGCCTATCTTTACATAAAGTTTCTTCTTGATACATGAAAACCTCCGTCCCTTTTGAATCAACACAAGATTTCGTACAAACAACTAACGGCCAATTTACTGTTTTCGTTTGTTTTGTGAAAATATAAGCACGAGAGCAGCTGGAGCAACCAACCACTCGAAGCGAGGCCCGTGTGCTAACTTAGAAAGTGCTCAGTTTGGCGGCTAGAGTCGTTAACCTCTATCCTCAAAGTTTAGAGAGGTTGGAAGGTAGTTCACTGCCAGTACCTCAGTTTGCTTTCGTTTTGCTGATAAGCCACACTTATAAAAATTTCTGATTCTCATTATTTTAGGGCCGGATGCAAAACTGCAAAATGGACCAAAGTAGCGGAATCACTTAATCTCTGGAAGGGACCACGTAATGAGCTATCTATTCTACGAACTATCCAGAGTTTCTCCAGTGTTAGGCAGCTGATTAAAACCAAGCACAAATGTGCTGAATATCAAATTTTATTGGAAAGTCATCCGTTCGACGCACCATCTGGGGCAGTTGACGAATTTTGACAGCTGCTCCAAAAATACGAGATTAGCTCCATCATTCTAACCGGATTAGAGCTTTTGCTTCAAGTTCTAGCTTAGTTAAGATCGATTGTTTCTTAAATTGCTTTATAGAGGTGGTTGTGAAGGG